TTCTATCTGTGTTTTATGTGCTATTATGATGTAACCTATTTGCTGCAATAGAACACACCTGAACCATTATATTAGGTCTCTTGTGCTACAAAGTAGGTGTAGCCATAGGCTTGTGGCTCTCCGATATGTGTTTTGGTCTCACCGTTTATTTCAGATCCTGATCTGAACCATGATACCTTGAGGAGGTTAACTTGTGTTATGTATTAATAAGGATGTTATTTCTGATTCTTGGTACCAATTTTTATACCATAATTTTTTGCGATAGAGTATTATAGACCATGTTTTTTGTTTGACCTTTTCTGTTTCATGCATTTCTCCTGTTTCGATTGTTGGATGAGTGCTCTCAAAACCCTGAGGCTATGTATCTGTGTTGATTAACATTTGCAGTATGTGTTTCTCCTTGGTTTTATAGGAATAGGATAATTGAAACAGCTCATCTCATGAGGGATCTGTATTACAAAAGGAATCCATCAGCAAGAGGTTCAAGCTCTAACATTTCTGTAAAAAGTTACTTTGAGATGCTTGCCATGGATGAGCATGCATCCTCTTTCTCTAGAGGACCTGCTGAAGCTTTTCAGTGGATTGGGCACCCAATACGGTAAACACTCATGTTATACCTCATATAATTGTGTAAAATGACAGGGGTTCCCATTCATTAGGTCATCAAACATCGTGTCTTTATATTCTCTAACTATGACAAATCACACTATATTTCTGATGTACTGTACATCATATGAGTAGTGGCTCAATATTTATATTTGTTTTCTTTCAGTTTCTTATTTTTTATTTCAGGGCTACCTTGTGCCGTATGAAGGGTGGTTCAATTTTAACTGGAGTTGGAGATAAGGTGGGTACTGCATCATATCATGTTCGTAATAGTTTTCATCAACATGAGTATCAAATTTAATTTGGAGTTATGGTAAGTAAATTACAGTTATTGTTTAATTATTATTATTATTGAGCTAGACACTGTAGACATTGCAACAACCCATCTATATTTAGAAATGTCTACATGTATGCCTAGCAAATTCTTTTTGAAGTAATGGTGTAAAATATGGCTCTACCAGACAATACCATAACTACACATAACATGATATGCTATTGTGGATGGCATAGTTGGCTTGCCCTATTGATCAATCAAAGTTTTGATAATTGACTATGACTTCAATTGATCATTTTCTTCTCTCAGTCCCTAATCTATTTCTCATCACCAATGGTTCATAGTTTTAAGAATATGTATACATGATTTTTTGCCAGATTCTCCGACTTTGGTCTGCTGAAAGCTGCAAATTTATGAATGAGTACAATGTGCCAAATTCTAAAACATTAGTCGACTTCGATTTTGATGAAAATAAGGTAATCACTGTTGGTGTGCTTCCAGTTTCTGTTATTTGGGTATCACTTGCTGTGGTCTTTGTGTTTGATTGCAAGACCCAACGTTACCTGTGCATCACCTATTTATATGTCGCAATCTTCATCTGTTCTTCCAAAAGAACAAATAGTATAACACGTAAACTGGGTGAGTTTGTATTTCCATTTGTTGTAGCATACCATGCAGACTTTTATTTGTTAATGGAAGATGTACTGAACACTGATGTTTTTATTGAAATAGCTTTGTTTTAGAATTTTCAGCCATATCATGTCTTTTCTAACAAAGTGTTAACTCCTTATTTACCTACTAGAAATTTGATTTGAATGCTCTGTGAAGATTGTAGGTTTAACTAGCTCCCAGATTTGCATATGGAGACGCAGTGAACCAAGAAGCGTATTTCAATCTGGTGGAGCCTCATTCAATCATGGGTTATGCATGAGGTGAGGAGACTTGTTTGATTTGTTTCACTTTTTCAGATTAATTACAAGATTGGGTGTTAGCTGCTAGCCACCTATTACCAATTTTTTGAAGTTGTGCTTGAAAGTATCCAGTTGCACTGGAGGAGTCATGCATAAGCTTTAGCAAATGCCACCCTTATTTGATTAGCCTAGAAAATGATGTTTTTATTTTTTAATTAGCATTTATGTACCTCATGTCATTTTCTGGTGTAGTTATGCTGATCCAGATGTTGTAATTGGTTGTGAGGATGGTCGAGGCTTTGTATATGATATGTACAGCAGGAGTTGCTCAAGCATTTATCGGCAAGTGTTATTCCTTTTAAACTGTTAGCATTTATGTTCCATGAGAACAAGCTTCAGTTCATTCAGCTGGCACTATTGCAAATATGTAGATTTGAGTAATTTTAAAACTTGTGCGAACTTTATTTTCCACACCATTAAAGTTGAGAATAATCAAATAGCTGTAATTGTAAGAGTAGTGAAAACAAAGAAATTATTAATATTTCTACATAAAGAAATTTTGTATCTCGAAGTTAATGTATAGTTCTGTTTTGTATATTACTGTGTCGTGGAATTGATGCCTGTTTAATATTTGTACTACAGGCTTCATTCCTCTCCTGTGACATGCTTGGCATTAACAGATGACCAGCTGATTGTTGGTGGTTCGACATTTGGAACTGTAGCTATCGCAGATCAAACCTCAGGCCAGAAGTTAGGTGTTCTGAAATCAGCTTATGCACCATTGGGTAAGCATTCAACTACGTAAGCATGGTTATTAGTTGATGACTCTTAAGGATGAGCAATGACTAAGGCCTAGAATTTTCCACACCCAAATAATATGGAACTTTTGTAACACCATTGAAGGTGTTCCTTCTAGCTATAGCCCTGATCCCGTAGATGTTACTTGTTAACTTAAAACAAATTCCTATGATGCTTGTCTCATTCCCTTGTTTCATTTCAAGGTAGCAGCAGAACTTTTCTGATTGCTGGCCGTTTATAGGACATCAAAATTTTAATCACAATATGCAATTTGTTAAGAGGTAAAAGATATATTTATGGCTAGATGTCAAAAGAATATATTATTTTAAAGCTCAACAATTTAACATATACCATTTTTCTCTTGGCTTTCCTATACAACATTGCTGGTGTCCCAAATGTCAAACCAAAGAAACAGTGACAATATTTTTACTTTTGAGAATTGTTGTGTGCCTATATAAATGTTCTTTCATTTATTAAGTAGTGATGTTGTATATATGCCTAATCCGTATTCTCTTACTTATGTTATTTTAATTTTTAATTGTCTAAAAATACAGATCATCTAATCTTGGTTTGGTAGATCAATTTTTTTAGTGGTAGTTGGTTATCATTCATTGGATATTTTGAAGTGTAACTAATCAAAACTCATGGTAACATAATGTTGTGATTTCAACAACTAAGTTTTGGTTTTCTTTTTCATTATTTCAGCAATAAGATCCTTATCTTTCTGCACAAATTCACACATGATATTTGCTGGGTCATCGGCTGGTTATGCTCATTGCTGGGACTTAAGGTTAGTAACAATGATACTCATTGGTTGTCAGTTTGCCAATGTATAAGGCTGTATCAAATATCAATGAATCATGGACATTTCAGCATTGTTTCTGCAGTCATCCCAAAAGAAACGAATTACATATCTGTTTGTCCAATCGAATTACAATTCCCTCTCACTTTGAAGTTTGCATAATTGGATAAACAGTTGCCAGTAATTATAGATTAAATTTTTGTTGCAGCTTTTGATAGAAAGGATTTAATTCCCCTGTGAGTGATAGTACTTTGAAGTATTATAAAAGGTCATATTACTTTACAGTTCAATTATATGTTTTGTTGAGTTTACTTGACTGATAGAGTTTTTCCATTACCTAACTACTGTTTGTATTGAACTTCTATTGGACAACCATTCATGTTAGCAAGTTGCTCATTGTAAATGATGGTTTGTTTTTTCTTATCAATCTAACAAATGTTTGGGAAAAAGTTACTTTTAGAGTACAAATGCTGCCAACAAGAACGTTTGCAACACATCCATTTGCTGAACTGCCAGTGCAGAGACAAGCAAAATATTACTGTAGTTTCATCATAGCTGTTCATTAATTCCCAGTTGTTCGTGCTTAGGACTTTGAGGCCTCTCTGGGAAAAAAGAGTCAGTCCAAACGTCATCTACAGCACATGTCATTTGCCTGGTGACACGGCAACGCTGGGAGTTGGAGGCATCGATGGCGTGCTTCGCGTTATATGCCAAAGAACCGGTGAAACCATTCGATGTCTTCTCGTGGACGCTGACCGCCCAGCAGAAGCCGCATCTAGATCTAGGCAGCAAATAGAGAAGAAACCTGTTCGCAGGATTGACCCTGATGCACAGGTTGACAGCATTCCGAGACGCTTGCGCCCTCAGATTACCAGCCTGTCGGTTGGTATGAAGAAGATTGTGACCACGCATGGCGAAAACTACATCCGGGTTTGGAAGTTTCGCCCGAAAAGCTCGTGAAAAGGGCCAGTTGTCGGTAATCTAGTTATCTGGTAGCCCACTGTTTGTAACCCTGTACCTGGTGTGGTGTGTCACCTGCATTTGTAAGAATAGCCTGAAACATAGGTCGTTGTACACTTGTACTCTTTCTCTTAAGATAAGATAGCAGTTAAAAAACGTTTGTACTCGTTTTTTTTTAATAAATGTTGTATGAGAAAAAACCGTTTGTACTCAGCTTACGGCCGGTAAAGTAACCTGGTAAGCTAATGCGTGTTGATAACTGAATTTGTGTTAAGCAACATATTCAAGCCGTTGTAGTCCGAACCTGAACTTATCCATACATTGATTATTGTCGGCAACAGGATTAGTACTTTATTAAAGGAAAACATTGATAAAACTATAAAGGTGTAGACTCATCAAGATCAAAATTTGTGTATAAATTGTAATTGTATTTGAGTTTATATGTACAAGTTATGATTTTTTTTTTTCAAAATGTGCTGCACATTTACTTCGAGATTAATATAGATCGACCTTTTTGACATGGGTAGGAAATTAATTGTCGTTCCCTTAGTGAGATATACTATATTCATTCCAAATTATAAGACGTTTTAACTTTTCTAGATATATTGTTTTTACTATGTATTCAGACATAGTGTATATCACCTTTTTCTCAGTAATACTGCTGGCCTATTTTGGGGCAAAATGCACTGATTCGAATTTCCTTGATGTTTGAGAACCCATCTCCTTGGATTCTATATATGGAGATAGTGCCCCGTGCAAAAGTAAACACACCAGTTCCTCCGACAATAGCCCATTCACCTTGAACCTTATTTTGATTTCCCATCGCCTTAAAACTAGACCCCTCGAACCTAATAATTCAAGAACACATGAAACAATAAAGTTAAGCGTTTAATAGATGCACCAAAAATCGAGTCCATAACAAGCCATGTGCATGCCACAAAATATACTAATCTGGATTTTAGTAACCGAAAATAAGTGAGACAATAGAACAGTGCATAGAAATAATACAGAAATATGTTGAAAATTATGTTTAAAGTTGGATGAGCACATTAAGTACATACCTTTTATCGGTAAAAACTATGCTGCTCCAGTGGAACCAGTCATCGTCGTCCATACAAGTCTCAGTATGCAGGCCCTGTGCACGTGCAACAATCTTTGCACTGGGGCCAAGACCATCATATATGGGGTAGTCATGAACATTGGTGTAACCAAACAAAAGAGGCTGCTTTGGATCTGCTATATTTACTTGGTTGTGGTTTGGTCCATCGATGGTCTGGTGCATGTACAAGTTCCGATTATACTCAAGGGACTGTGTGGTGACAGGACTTATAGCATTAGCCCTGAAAAGCTACAAAAAGTGATGGATTATTAACTATTGTCAGTGATAATATAAATATTTTAATACTACAAAAACCCTCTTTAATGTTTCTCCACCATGAGTCTAGTTAGGGAAATACATATACCAAGACAAAAAATAATGTTATGGTCACCTTTGTATCAGTTGGAATGTTCTGTGGCGTGCAGCAAAATGCACTGATACGAATCTCCTTGATGTTTGAGCACCAATCGCCGTGTATTCTTCGGATGGAAATATTACCCTGTGCAAAAGTGAACATTCCAGTTCCACCAACAATAGCCCAGTCGCCATCGACCTTATTCTGATTTCCTATTGCCTTGAAACTGGATCCCTGGAATCTAATGCATTAATATGAAACCTTCAATAAGCTTGCAATTGTTCTAGTAATAATGAACAATATATTATAATTTTTTAGTGTTATATGGTGACTCAAATCCTACTTATAATAGGACTCAATAGAGATGTGCTATTAGTACTTCTAGTTCTAATAGTACTTGAGTGTACAATCCTATACTAGGAGAGTAGAACTCCTACTTGCATGTATGGGAGCCTTGAAGGGGCCTATATAAACAAGGGGTAGAGGCTACAGGCATCAATTAAGCCAACACAAAGGGTCTCATCCAAGGCTTATAGGAGCAATTAGGAGCGTTCAAAAGGATTAGGCTTGTAGTTTTATTACACTAGATTCTTGTATAGGGCAAGGATCAGTACTGGGTCCTAGAGGGTCAAGTAGGGTTGTAAGAGAGTGACAATCACTTGTACTCTTTTGGAGTTATGCTAATACAATTTGCGGTCAGCTTTGCCAAATTCTAACCTCTTCTCATGGTTGCTTCAACATGGTCATTTAGGGTTTTCTACGTGGTTCGACTAAATTGTTCTTGACACGGTGCAATCTTGTATCATACTCACAACATCCTTTCAAAGATCTGAGGGCTGTTGTGAATAACTAGGGTATCAGATTCTAACATTTAGGATACCGACTTTTACTATTAGAGGCAGTTTGAAAAGTTAGTACAAATCATCAAGGGCCCAAAGTGAAGGCACATCTCTAGAAACTGAGTTTCAAATGTTGTTGTCTTAGGACGGCAATCGCCGGAAATAGGTCTATTTCTCAAGGTAGTCATATTAAGTGACAGGAGAATCTTATTTTTAGAGTTGTTGTACTAAGGGCTAGTTTGGTAGAGCTCCACTTCGTGTTTCTTGAGCTCCACTCCTTGATTCTTTGGTGGAGTGATTCTAGTAGAAACAGGGTGGGGAGCAGGTGAGAAGTGACTATAATGGGGATTAAGTGGTAGGGAGCATATTTTTTAGCTCCTAGCTCATAAATGATGTCAGTCTTGTCAGCTCCCCACCAAAATCCAAATGCATTTTAACTACTTTGTAGGGCTACACAGAATCCGCTTCGAAGAAGCTACGAGTAGAGCTCGATCTACCAAATAGGCTCTAAGTGACGGTCTCTAAAACTAAAACTATGGCTATAATTAGAAGCGGTTGTCTTAAGCGAGCACCTCTAAAATGCACCTTCAGAGGTGGTCAATGTAAATGCCCACCTACAAAAATAATTTTAGGAGACATGCACTTTTATTTATGTAGAGGCAGTCGATCATTTATGGAGACGGTTCCTGTCTCTAGAAATCGATTAACAGAGTCAGGTAAATGATTTCATTTACATAGAGGACCTCTTAAGAGGCCTGCCTCTAGAAAGGCCAAAGCTCGAGTCACACAAACCTAAATCCCTCACATTTCTCTTTGTTTGTCTCCTCTCCCCACATTCTCTCGGTCGCACCCATGACTCAAGATGAGATGCCACCACCCACTCCCCGCACAACTCCTCCAACGCTGCTAGCCCATCCCTACCTTAGATCCATCGTGTGTGGCATCAATCCATGTGCCTCTAGCTTATCCTCGCCTTAGATCCATCGTGTGCGCCATTGATCCAAGGACGAGCGCCACGCCATCCAACCCCATCGGCATGCGGTTGTGTCAGGGCCCAAGCTCAGTCAACACGTGGGACACATTTTGACAGTACACAGGACCCAACCTCTTTAGTGGGTGTGGTGGCTCAGCGGGCCATCACTCTCCCCGAGGCAGATCTCCCACAAACACGAAGGCCCCATTCCCCTATGGCGGCGGTAGTTGGGTGGGTGTCCCATGATGGATCTAGAGAGGAGCACAACACATATATTGATGGAACTTGCGAGGAACACAACATATCAGTGGAACCGATGAAAGGTCCTTGTTTGGTTTTGGTAATTGAGTGACAACCTTAGGTGGACTAATATGTGTTTGATTGAGATACACAGGTGATTAGTCCACAAGTACATCATGTGTGAGCAACCTATGCCATGGAGGTGAAATGGCTTGGATATGTTGCAAGGCTCACACATGTGATTAAGGAGCTCATTACATATGAGACATGACATTGAGTCATGTGACTAAGGTGGAGAAGATCAAGACAAGACTTGGCTTGATAGACTGGTTGCAAGTGCGAAGGGCAAGTTGAGTGATGACTTGGTGCCGATGGACCGAAGCAACGGTGAAGAGCAAGTGAAGTCAAGATCAATGAACCAATACGGTTACGTGATGATATGAAGTGGATCATGTCATTTGTGATTGATTGGTGCATGTGTTGCATCAACATTGGAGGAGATGGAATGGAATGCGCAAGGCAAAGGTATAACCTATAGGGCATTTTATTTCACCGGTCATAGGTGTGTAGAGAAGTTGATGACCGGGTTTAGGATAGATAGTCATACTATCAAGAGGGGCAAACTAATTTGCATATCGGTCATCTAGTGTCACTTGAGTGGTCTAACTTCGCATCGTTGCTAGGATCGAGTGGCGTGGAAAATTGAGTGACTAATCCTTTGAAAAATGTTTGTGAAAATGCTAACATACTTGCACAAGTTGTTGTACACTTGGTGGTGTTGGCACATTTGCAAAGGAGAAGAAGTTGGAGTTGATGTGGATCAACTCGGTGAAGAAAATGAGGAGTTCCAGGGGGATAGGACTTTACCTCGGTAGGGACCAGACTCTGCCCCCTGCGTTCGGTCAAGCAGTACGCAATGAAGAGTGCCTTCAGTTCATCGATCGAACACTGGCTCAGTGGAGGACCGGACGCGATGCTGGTGCGTCCGGTCGTAGTGACATACGTTGACATTGTGGCGCGAGGCATCGCGGTGACGCGTGGCAGATGGAGAAGGACTGGACTCGGGCCATGAGTCCGGTCGTGTCTAAACTGACTCGTCCAATCGCAATTTAGAGGCTCTAGGACCTCTCTGGAGTCGACCTGACTCGGTGGTGGCGCAACGTTAGGTGCCGGAGTAGCGCATCCGGTCAGTGTCTCAGCAGCGCGGGCGAACATGTGATCGAACGCCGCTTGGAACGTTTCAGGTCGGACTAGCTGTGTATCCAGTCATTCTTTGACCGTTGGCGCGTAGAGCCAACCATTGGGATCGGGCATTCGACGTTGAATGCAGACGACATGTGGACGGTGGAGAGTGACCGAACGCAGGGACCTGTGCGTCCGGTCACGTTGTGAAGAGCGTGCGGTCGCCCCGAGTTTTGACCAGTGAAGGGGCAACGACTCATTTGAGCCGTGGGAATATAAATAGAAGTGTTTGCCGGCCTTTGGCTGGTTGCTGAGTACACTAGAGCCTTGGTGGCTTGTGTGGTAATGCTTGGGAGCCCTCTAACTCACGTGTGCTTGATAGTGATCATCCGATCGAGTGAGTGAGCGATTCTAGTGCGATTGCATTGTGAGGTTGCATTGAGTGACACTAGGTGTTCGAGTTGCAAGCTAGTGGTGTTTGTTACTCTTGGAGGTTGCCACCTCCTAGACGGCTTGGTGGCTTGTGACTCCGTTGAAGCATGCGAGAAGATTGTGTGGTGCTCCGGAGAAGAATTTGTGAGGGGGATTGTGCTCACCCCACGGGGATCATGAAGAGTAACTCTAGTAGATCATGTCATTGAGCTACCCTCACTTTTGGGGTAGGTTCTTGTGGTGCCTGACGTGTGGGCTTGGTGGGTGATGCCAATTAGCTGCCGAACCACCAAGTGAGCTAATGATGGCAATGGATCGGGTTTGGGGCGGATATCCGCGGGTTTCGGGTTCTGCGGGTTCGGGTTTGGGGATGGTTTTTCACCCACGGTTTTCGGGTTCGGGGCCCCGAAACCATTCGGGTTTGGTTTCGGGTTTGGTTTTCCACCCATGGATATCCAATGGATATCCGAAATAAATCATTTGGAATTAAAACTCATGTTTTATAATATACTAATAATAATTTGTTTTCTTAGATTATTAAATTTATTTAAAGTTGACTCATGAAAATATTTATTATTTGTTGCCTTTTGTTTATACATGTGAATATGTGTATATATATATCCGCGGGTTTTGGGTATCCATTCGGGTTTCGGGTATCCGTTCGGGTTTCGGGTATCCGCGGGTTTGGTTTTGGTGATGGATTTCCACCCGAATCGGTTTTCGGGGCGGATTCGGGTTTCAATTTCGGGTTTCGATTTTTGGTGCACGGAGACTCCACCCGATCCGAACCCGACCCGTTGCCATCCTTAAAGTGAGCAGTCGACACAATGGGGACTAGCGTGTTGGCAAGCACATGAACCTCGGGATAAAATCATTGTGTCATCCTTGTCTTCCTGTTGGTTTGCATCCTCGTCACACAAGTTTGTATTTACTTTTCATACATTGTGCTTGTGTAGTTGCTCTTGTAATTAGTTAGCTTATGTAGCTTGCTAGTTACCTTCTTGCTTGTGTAGCATAGAAGTAGCTCCCTTGCGTTACTAATTTGGTTTGAGTAACCTTGTTAGTCACATTGCTTAGTTTGTGTGGCTAAGTGATTTGCGCTCTCCAATTTGGCTTGTGTAGCCGTGTTATTGAGCATTGCTAGTGAGCTTAGGTGGCTTTGTGCTTTTGCTTACTAGATTGTGTAGGATCTCTCCCAGTTGTTAAAGTACTAGTGCATAGGTTTGTGTGACCTTACTTTAGAATTGATTAGGTGAGCTCTAGCTAGCTCGGTACCTTTGTTGCCTAATTAGGATCTTTGTATGGTGCTTGAGAACTTAGATAGAGGGGTGTAGTCTTGGCTAGACCGATAGTTTTAATTCCGTATTTGTTTAGGCTAGCCTGGCATTTGAGTTTTAGAAAAGACTATTCACTCCCCTCTAATCCGCCATCTTGACCCTACAACCGGCGAGGAGCATGATGTATCGATGGAACTGATGTGGAGCATGACAGATCAGCTGATCTGCCAAGAAGCATAATGGATCTGGTGAGGAGTACCGCCAATAAATGCGAGCGGTGGTGACACGGCTCCTCGGTCTTTGATCTTATTTGTGTGCCCTTTTGGTTGCCTCTTGTCTATTTTCCTCATAGGGATGACGAGTTGCTTGGCAACAAGGGTTAGCTCTTGTCTGTTTCTCCTCACAGGGATGATGGGCTGCTAGGAAACAAGAGTTAGAACAAGGACGACACCATCTCATGGACAAGATTGACGATCCATAGGGAGGAAGCCTCTCTTCGGTAGACAACACAAGAGGCAGATGAAGAGCGCCACCGCAAGCACCATCAACGACTGTGACAGTGATGGTTGTTTTAATCATCCACCTCCAGCTGTTTAATTTCAGAGTCAGGCTTCGTGGTCACCTCTGCAAATCAGTGCTTTATAGAGAGTAGGAGAGTCGGTCTCTGGAGAGGCTTAGAGTCTGTCACTAAAAAGTGTTGTTGTGGTAGTGATGCCTTACATATTGAATATTGGGTTGTTGTGTCCTTATAATCTTGATGAACCGAAGCACTTGAGGTATTGTTGAGATTTTGGTGAAGGGTCTTGGTGACCTTCTGGTCCTGCCCCTCCAAGGCTGGTGTGAACCGACGACAACTTGGTGTGCGGGAGATGAGAGGGGACACCCTCCTTGATAGACAAGCTCCATAGCAGGTGGCGCCAAAGGTGATCGGATGGAAGAGTCAGACAATAGTGGTGAGCCTTAGTGGCTTGCAACACTTTTTTCTAGGTTGCACAAGCCTTTGTAGCGAGCTAAATGATATAAACAGAGAAGGTTTGGTGACCGGGAGTATATCTCAGTGGAGTTCCATCATGGACTTGGGGTGGTGTTTTTGCAATCGTTACCATGCATCTAGCCATGATCTGCATTTAAGCTTCCACACTGTGCTTGACTTTGTTACATTTACCTTTCCTAAATTAGGATAGGCTAGTTGATGAGGTTAGCTCTGGGTTGTAAATTTTTTTGTGGTTACATAGAGTAAACTAAGAATACCTAAAGTGCACATTTTGTGTTTTTTCTAGTGTTGATCAAGAAAGCTCTATGTTTCAGTGACAATGGCCAATCTCGGGGGAGGCCTTTGGGTGGAGGCAGTTGCCTTACCTGCTTCACGAAATCGTTTGGATGTGCCCCCCTAAAAGTAGGTTTTGAGTTGTGAAATTTTATGGCTATGTACAGAAATCAATATAGGTACCAGTATAACCGGACCATAGCAATCAAACATAACGGAATAATGTAACGGTGCATATATAGAAGAGAATATTTGTAGAATGGCGGTGTTTAAAGTATGGCCAAACCTTTCATCGCTAAACACTATGCTGCTCCAGTGGAACCAGTCATCGTCGTTCATATTTGTCTCAGTATGTAGTCCTTGTGCACGAGCAACAATCTTTGCGCTGGGGGCAAGACCATCATATATTGGGTAGTCATGAACATTAGTGTAACCAAACATTTGAGGTTGCTTTGGATCTGCTATATTTACTTGGTTATGATTGGGTCCCTCGACGGTTTGGTGCATGTACAAAATGAGACTGTAATTAGGTCCATCGTTGGAAGCCTGCAAACAAATGAATGAAGATCGAGTTGTTCGTCATAGTGTTCGATAGAAATATTCTGTGTATATTAAAATTATACTAATACGATATGCTACAGCAAAGCAATATATATACTCCTCTTCTATATTTTAATACAAGTCTTTTCGCCCAAAAAAAAATGTTAACACAAGTCAATTGTTAAAAGAGGCTATTGACTCACTGAATCTCAGCAGAAAGAAGGCAGCTACATTAAAAATGAATTGGCATATTACATGTCGACAGGTATAACAAAAGAAACTTGACACGAGGGGATTTTTTAACTTTCTCACGCAGAGAAAACCCCGAACCCCTACCCCTCCCTACACAGCGGCACCATAACCCATGTGAGAATGACCACGACCGGGGCCGGGCCTTAGACCTGTGCTTTGGCATGGAATAGACGAGGGATTTTTTTTAACCCCAGACTGAAATTCGCTTCCACAGAGAGTCGAACTCAGGACTGAGGAGTGTTACTCAGATTACGTGACCAACTCAGCTAGAAACCCTTTTGCAAACCATAGGTATAACGTACATGTGCTGATGGATCCGCCTCCTTTTCTTAAATGTGATGTGGAGGTATGTTATTGAGGTTTCATGAACTACTACTGCCATATTGAATTTGTACATTTCAATCACATGGAATAAGAAAAAAAATTACCCTGAACCGTATTTTTTACATCATTATAGAACTATACAAAAACAGAGCACTGTTCAATAAGTATCCGTGGAAAAGTGTGATCTGCACGGTGTTTGGTGCGGAGTTGTCTAAATTTGAGTTTATCCCATTGACAAGAAACTAGTAGCTACACATATTATAATTAGAAGAAAAATAATATATACTAATATTTCAAAAGAACATTGTACTAGATACTCATATTAGAAACATGCTATATACTTGCTACTCATATTCGATACCATCCCTATTTCCGAAGAATATTGTACTCGGAGAGACTTTTTAAGTTATATTCCCATGATTGGTGACTAATCAGTATCTAATATCAAAAAGCAAAATTTTCTTGTGTCAAACTCTTATGACCTCTGTCACATGTGCTCCCTTAGATCCATTGCCTCGGACATTGATTGACAGAATGAATCGACAAATAGAAAGCAACTGAACTATAACTTTCATATAGAAGATGTCAATATCCAAGATTGTTTGATAATTTTAAATTTTAAATTTCAAAATCTATAAACTTACAACAGTATTTTGGGACCCTAAACAGTTTTAATTCAAAAACTTTTCAAGTGCAAAGTTGTAGATCACGTCAAGGGCTATGATTTTAATATAAAGTTTGACTTCATTAGACTTTATATGAAAAAATTATGAATTATTTTTTGATATAAAGTTTGTAGATCGTCCTGTTTTGACCAAGATGAGACTCAAAACCAAGTTTAGAGTCCGAAATGAGACCACGGTCCAAGTTTAGAGACAGGCGGTGATGACCTTAAAAGTTCAAGGACTAGGATGACATGATTGGCCAAATTTAGGGACCCGCAGATATCAGTATAGATGTTTAGGTACTAGGATGACATTGCCGGCTAAGTTTACGGACCATCGGTGAATTTTACTCAAAAAATATTATCATTACCTCTGTATCAGTCGTCTGTGTTGTGTGGCAAAGTGCACTGATTTGAATTCCATAGATGGTTGTGAACCCACCTCCTTCTTCGATTCTGTTGATAGATATCGTGCCCTCTGCAAAAGTAAACACTCCAGTCCCACCAACAATAGCCCATTCGCCTTGGAGTTTATTTTGATTTCCTATTGCCTTAAAACTGGACCCCCCAAACCTAATTCAGGAATATCAAACAAACAAGTAAGTTTGCAGCAGATGCAGTCAACAAAATGAAGTCCAGCAACTAGTTATGTGCATGCATAATAAATTGTTATTGTTGTTACTAGTATTTATTTTAGTATACAATAATTAACATGTAGAATGAACAATCCTATATAGAAGGGCGACGTTTAACGTATTTAAGATCAAACACCAAACCTTTCATTGCTAAACACTATGCTGCTCCAATGGAACCAGTCATCGTCGTCCATACAAGTCTCTGTATGCAGGCCTTGTGCACGTGCAACAATCTTTGCACTAGGTCCAAGACCATCATATATGGGATAGTCATGAACATTGGTGTAACCAAACATATGTGGCTGCTGTGGATCTGCTATGTTTACTTGGTTATGGTTTGGTCCATCCATGGTTTGGTGCATGTACAACTTGAGATTGTACTTAGGTCCATGAGACTGGGGGTTGACAGGACCACATTGTGTATCATCCTTGCAAGTGCTGCCTTGGAATGCATCATTTGTCATGCCGTCATTGAATGGCTGCACGTAATACAAATTAGATAAAGATTTATCTAGAAACAAATTATTGTTGCACCATTATATATAGAACTAATAATAAGACTATACCCGTGTCTAAAATAGTTTCCATAGAAACGTGTTCATTCTTGATGTTCATTCTTGCGGTGGTCCGTAAGCTATTGTTGTATTTTAAAATTTTTAATTGATTGTTCGAGATAGGCGTTTTAAGCATCCACCTCTGGTTGTTTTATTTCAGAGTCGGTCTTCGTGGTCAGCTCTGCAAATCAATGCTTTTTAGAGACCTTGTAGGAGAGTCGGTCTCTATGTCAGCCTCTGGAGAGGCTTAGAGCCTGTCTCTAAAAAGTGTTGTTGTGGTAGTTATGCTTTACAGATTGAATATTGGGTTGTTGTGTCCTTATAATCTTGATGAATAGAAGCACTTGAGGTCTTGTTGACATTTTGGTGAAGGTCTTGGTGACCTTCTGGTCCTGTCCCTTCGAGCTTCGTGTGAAGCGACAACGACTTGGTGTGCCGGAGATGAGGGGACACCCTCCTTGATAGACAAGCTCCGTGCAAACCATGCCAACATCCGAGGTTGTTTAAAAATACTAAACTTTAAATTTCCAAATCTAAGAAGTTAAATGAATTGTTGGGGCTCTAAACAATTACGGATAGAAAATCTTATCGACTACAATCTGTAGATTGCATCGAGCTCTACAATTTTGGTACAAAGAAGTTATGAATTTTATGAGATAACTTTTTCTAGAAGTAAGTCTCTTAAGCATGCCACCTCTATTAACCAATTTTTTCTCAAGGTGGACCCATATAATTATCTGCCTCGGTTAATAGCAATTTTTACAGGACGGGCATTTTAAGAAGTCAGAGTCTATTAATCGATTAACAGAGGCGGACGTTCTAACACGACTGCCGCTGTAAATAGTTGATTAACATAGACATTCTTCTTTGGATGCCTGCCTCGTGGTAGCTCCTAAAAGTATCTGTTTCTGTTAATCAGAGGGTCTATCTCTCGACGCTGCTCAGCCATCAGGTACCACAAAAATTAATGCTCCATTAGAGTCAATTACCAATTACCAAACAACCTTGGATTAGTAAGGGGCTTATAAATAAGTCCCTCTACACTCGCACTTTCACTACCATGAGCAAATTTCTCGGTCAAAAATGGTTGAGGTTTTTGAAGATGTGTGAAGATAAACTAAAGCACCTTGACTTGAAGCACATGGACTCGGTCTAAAAAGGCAGCTAAAGTATGAAGGATCCTGGACTCGGTCTTAAAAGGCTTGATGGATAGCCTATGGAAATTATTAGCATCCTGGTCTAGATTATGATGGAACCTTGAATTCGATTGTGAAACCTTTGACAATTTGGGTTGCTTTTAGCATCACCACCACACATAGATGGCCACCTTAATGATCGAGACAGTGTACGACTCCTACATTCAGCCTCCAGGATTTATTGATTCCTCAGTCCATCATTATGTGTCTCCTCAAGAATTCATTTAGCCTCAAGCAGGCACCACCGGCTTGGTACCAGTGGTTTGCCTCCTATGCCACATTGCGATTCATTGCATCTATTTCGAACACTGTTGCTCCTCTATGTTGATGAGTACATTTCAAAACTCTTTCTAAAAAAAATGGTACTTTCAAAACTGTACTACCCAAAAGTAGTTACTTCTGAAAAAAAACAGCTTCTGATTTATATCCCTTTGGCTGGCTTTTGTTTTTTTTTAAAGAAAAAAAACTCCCAAAAGCCCAACGAAAGGAGCATTGCAGAGTGTCACTCTGCTTTGTGCTTCTAGGCACTCTGCTCCAACCCCGTGGTAGGCCAAGCTCTCCGCTTTTGATGGTGCTCTTAGTTGCTGATCTCGGGCAACCATTACAACTGTGGATGAGTATATTAACAATATCAGCCTTGTATGTCGTACGTTTGTCTATATATGTTGCCTAGTAGCTGATTCCCTAAATTTTTATATTGCGTAACTAATCAATCCTGTGATCATGGATTCCTGTAGAATAATCAGAGGCTGGAGTGCTGGACGAGACGTTATCTATAAATGGCAAGTGTGCTGTGTCTGGCCTTTGCCGCAATTCCCTCTACTGTCTATGCAACAAATATCAGATGCTGAAAAATACTGAATATATACTTTGATTTTCGTCTCTCGTGGTAGGACGTTTAACTTTCTGCAGCTCAGTAGAAGATTCCTTTTCATGCAGAACAATTTAACGACTTCACTTAATTTATCCGCCAAATCGAAGCAAGAAACTGAAAACGGTGCTGTGCTCAAGCTCTAAAAAGCCATTCTTGGAAGTTAAAGGATTCTATGTGTGTCATGAGTTAACTTACATGTGTTGCTGATGAAGTACAGAGGTCGGTTTCAATAAAACCATATGTCTGCTCCATTTCATAAAGTGTCTCAATTATATACTGTGTATCTGGTCTCTTCGCTGGGTTAAAGTCACTGCACTCTACCCCTATCTTGGCGCATACCCTTACCTGGCTCAGTTCTGTGTCTTGATTTAATGTTTCGAACCTATTACTCCAACTTTCAAGTACCTAAAACATTGCAAGTAACCATGAGTTAGGGTTTATCATAGACTTGGAAATTTTATCATGTGCAAATAAATAAAATATTGTAAAGACTTCTGACGTATAAATATGCCAATACAGACATAAGACATTCAAAGAAAGTAAAGCATGCCAAATACTTTGGTGCTCTGCAGTGTTTACTTTGGTGCTGCTGGGTTGTAACATTTAGATAGTTAACTAGACTTATTACATCTGTAGATTAAGTAAAACCAATTTCACTGGCTTGCATAAGAATTGTTGGAAAATTAATATATTGTATTAGGGTTACAATTGTATATTGCACAAAACCATATTGTTTGATAATTGGAAATTTTCTTAACATTGTAGCCTTGTCTTGGATTGGTCATGTGCAATATTCTTACATTCTCAATCTCAGAATACCCCTTCTTTCCTGTCAATATCTCCATGATTACAACACCAAGGCTGTATATGTCTAACTTGAATGTGATTACTCTACTATAGGATTCTGGTGCCAAATATCCCCTGCATGACAAAGTTTGTGGCCAGAGGAATTAAGAAGCAAATTAAGAAATGAAAAAAAAATGTTCTCATCAATAAGCTTTGATTTCAAGATGCATAGATAGCTTACAATGTTCCAACCAGTTTTGAAGCTATAGCATGGCTTTGGTTTTCATCAAAGCATCTTGAGAGACCAAAATCAGCAATTTTGGGCACCATATTGTAGGTCAACAGTATGTTTGCAGGTTTGAGATCTAAATGAACTATTTTGTTTTGGTGCAGATAATGTAAACCCTCACATATTCCCTTTATTATTTGATAGCGTATCCTCCATTTGAGTCCACGAGATGCATCTGCTCATCCGTTCATGAAAAAAGGGGAATGGAACAGGAACAGTATCATAATCCAAACAGACGACCCGTGATTGACAAAAAAAATGGGACCTAAAGGGAGCATATGGACCTCGTTCGTCAAAATATAAGATGGACACAGACATACCAGTAATATACCGATCAAGACTCCCATTTGGCAGGAACTCAAAGCAGAGCAACCTTTGTCGTACGTCAGCCATGACCGTCTTTCCCTCGTACGTCTCTACTTTCCCTTGTGTGTCGGAACAATATCCTAGGAACCGTACTATGTTTTTGTGCTTCACCTTTATGAGACTGCTAATCTCATGGTTGAAGTTCTTCTCGTCCATATCAAGTTCTGGGGACAGTCTTTTCACAGCAACTGTGCCACCCTGAAGCTGTCCCTGCAGTCACAACACATTGCCGTGTAAACATGCATGAGCAATTGAGCATGAACTTTTACATCTATCAGTTGTGATCAAGACTGAAGAAGATTGAGAGATACGAATATGATATGTACCTTGTAAACAACTGCAAAACCCCCTTTGCCAATTTGCTGATTGTCTGAGAAATTATTGGTGATGGCTTTCAGAAGTGCTAATGGCAGACCTGGCGGCTCTATGCTTTCATCAACTATCATGCGTTCCAAGAGATTGTGCACAACACTAGCTTCACAATCCATTTTAGTCACAGCCAATGCGGAAATGAATTTGCAGAACTAATCATTAATGTCCTGACCTAAAGACACAGGCAAACCGTCAGACCAAAACAACAACTACTGTTTCTCTAGCTTCACAATGTCCTGTCCTGCAATCCTCCGGTCAAAATTTTCAGTTTTCGCTAGCCAGTTTCTCCTGCGGAAACAACATGTTCACCGACATGAGAGAGTAACTGGGTTTAAGGGGCAAACCGTCAAGCCCGTCGATGCTTAAACGCAGATCAACTAGCAGCTGGTTAGTAGCAAAAGGCACTAGCTAGGACGCTATTGGGCAGTGGCGTAGAGAAATCATTGGCTGAATCGATTACTAACCAGAATGAAGATGGAGGATGCAATCGCAAAATCAGCTGCCTTCAGATCTGGATAAGAGAAGAACAGGGACTCGGCTTCACCGGTGAGAGTTGATTGAAGAAAGATAAGAAGGGAAGCTACCGCTGAAGATTGGCTAGCTGGAGATGTACGGACGGACCCCCCCAGTTGTTAGGCTATCCGCACCGCAGCCTGTAAACGGACCTGCGCGCGCGATAGCGTGCCGCGCGCCCGCACCGCGTGTCTGCAAAGCAGCCGGTAGCGTACCGGCTGCACAGGCCGCCGCTATTTCCAGCGGCTGCGCGCGGGCGCGCTAAAACACTGAAGCGAGCTGAGAGAGAGAGTCAGGGAGAGAGAAAGGGTGAGGGAGGGGAATAAAATATGGAGTAGTTGATATAGAGTATGGGATAGAGATAATATGGGTGTGAGAGAAATGAATATAGAGTAGAGAATCTCGATGACTAGAATAAAATATTCTTTTTAAGAGATAAAAATAGAGGTGGACGAGTACGAATAAGCTTATAAGTTATAACTCTAGCGGCATGTTGCGAGCAGAGGTGGTTGTGGATTTGGATAATCCAAAGTACAGTTGGACTTTAGTTGATTTGATGAATGGATTTGGATGGAATCTATTCAGATTGGGACGTTTATAATCATCGGATATTAACTCAAAAAATTTAGTGTCTATTTGGGCCTGGTTCACTTTGTAAATTTTTTAACCCGATGAATAGTACCACTTTCGTCTTATTTGACAAATATTGTCCAATCGTGGACCAACTAGGCTCAAAAGATTCATCTCGTGATTTCCAACTAAACTGTGTAATTAGTTTTTTTTTACCTATATTTAATACTCTATGCAAGCGGCTAAAAATTGATGTGATGAAGAAAGAATGAAAAAACATAGAATTTGGATGGCATCTAAACAAGGCCTTTGTTTAGGTGCACTTGACTACTTAAGAGGTACACGAGCTTTTAATATAGTTTTAAGTTTATAACACGCGGCCAATATATATTTGTCCACTTACATAGCTATGTACGAAGTAGCTAACAATTATATTAAATCATCTCTAAAAAATTCGGGTCAATCTCACTAAATTTTAAAGTGTGAATATTATATTTTGAATTTTAGGATACGGCTTTTGATGTGGGACTCACATATATATGAGTCCAACTCCAAATATTTTGCTAAAGTTTTAAGGTGCAAACATAAGGGTTTTAATTTTACGGTCCAACTTTTTATCGGCGTGTTCGCTGGTTGGTTTTTGGGCTGGTTTGAGTTGACTGGTGTTGGTTTGTTGTGAAAGAAAAACACTATTGGCTGGTTGAATAAGCCTGGCTGAAACCAACAAGCGAACAAAGTGGATATGAGATTCACTTATATATATATCTAGTCACATGGATCAGCATAAAGTAGTGGACAATTGTATTAATTATCACCAACTAATTTTATCTAATTTCATAAAAAGATAAAGGTGTAAACCTGATATTTTAGTTGTAAGGTCTATTTTTTTATCCATCGAAAGAATGAAAAACGTTGTGAAAGGATCAAGATGATCAAGTGAGGGTGAATTAGACTAATTCTAAAATTCTTTGCAATAATTAAATCCTATACTTAGCCCACTTCACCCCTTGTGCCTAGAATGTGTTTCTATTGTTCTATCGCACAAAAGTTTTACACCATAAATTCCAATCCTACTCTAGCACGGCAATTCTAAGAATGTAAAGATAAGAAATAAATTGTTCAAATGTAAATGCTTAAAGTAAAGAGAGGGAAAGGAACGCGGCGATGTTTTGCCGAGATATCGGAGAGTCGCCACTCCCACTAGTCCTCGTTGGAGCACCCGCGCAAGGGTGTAGCTCTCCCTTGATCCGTGCAAGGATCAAATGCTCTCTATGGGCTGATTTTTCGACACTCCATCGCGGTGAATCGCCCACAACCGCTCACAACTTAAGTTGGGTTATCCACAAGCTCCGTCGGATGATCACCAAACTCCCAATCACTACCAAGCAATCTAGGTGATGGCGATCACCAAGAGTAACAGTCACAAACTCTCACTTGACCACGACAAGCCTAATGAGAAGGGTGGATGCACACTTGCTACTCTCCTTTCACTAATGAGGCCTTAATCTTAGATTCTCAAATCTTAATCACCTCACTAGGCTCTTGCTCTCCTTTACACTCTCAAGGGTGTTTCTCAGCTGAACAAATGGGCAAGAGACCTCTCTTGGACGAGTGGAGTAAGTATTTATACCCCCTCGAAAACACAACGTTTGGAGGCTGAGGCATCACTCTGCGGGGTGATCGGACGCTTCGGTCAGTTATCCCCGCCACTGTGCTAGAAAGAGCCGTTAAGTTCTGATCGGACTCTGACCTGCATTCGGTCATGAAAAATGCTCTCTGGAACCTTACGGATGTTGACCGGACACTGGCACCCAGAGTCCGGTCACTTCGCTGTTCAGCGTCCGGTCAGTTACCGGATCCTGACCAGTGTCCGGTCAGCACTGACCAGACACGTGCGATCAGAAATCTCCCTCTCTGGAACCTCTTTGGAGTTGACTGGACACAGGCACCCAGCGTCCGGTAACTTTTCACTCAGCGTCCGGTCACAACCAGATGGCTCCAGTTGATCAAATGAACTAACCGGACTCACCTTTCAGCATCTGGTCACAACTAGACCGGTGTTCGGTCAGTCATTTGACCCTCCATTCACTTTAAACTCGAAATCATATGTGAATGAAGTTTGCTCCAATTGATTTTAGGGCTACTCCGGAGCTACCTAGTGCTAGATTTGACAAGTGTGCAACACACCTAACATACTAGACTCACCTAGGTCAGGCTACTAGTCCATACCCCCTTAATAGTACGGCCAAAGGAAAAACAAAGTCCTAAACTACTCTAAGTGTCTCTTCAACACCAAACGACACTTAGAACTAGTCAATCCTTAACCTTGTCGTCCATCCTTTGAAAACCAAAACGATTTCCATCGTAGGGGCATGACAACCATGATTGCCCAATCAATTGCCATTACCATGACCTAACTTAAATTGCCTCTGCAAAACACACGTTAGTTATAGTAATCTCGTATTGTCATTAATCACCAAAACCCAACTAGGGGCCTAGATGCTTTCAATCTCCCCTTTTTGGTGATTGATGCAATACAATCTCGAGTATGTAAAAGAGATAAGGTTTTCAACATGCTTGATTCATATAAGCTTTTGACAATAAGAGCAAAGGAGTTAGACATGCTTATATGACCCAAGCCAACATGGTGTACTCAATAGATATGAAATAAGCATGAATACAAGAAAATAAAGCTCATTTGAATCGAGTAAAACGCGGAAGCAAACAAATGAGCATAACCAAGTGACATGACATATATATAAATCAAAGTAGAGAGCACACATGTCACATAAGTATCACCACCATAAGTATGTAATGCAATGCATAAAGGTAAACGTGAATGCATAATGTTTCACACATAAAAAGCCAATAGAAATGAATCATAAGCTCCCCTAGATCTAACATACTCGATCCCTCTCCCCCTTTGACGTCAAGCACCAAAACCTAAGGGTCGGACGACAGGATAGGAGCAGACGAGTCGAGGCGTTGAGGTGCGGTGAGAAATTTGGAACTGTGCAGCATCATCCTCTGACCCCGAGCTCTGAGCAGTCTGACCCTCTATCGCTGGAAGTGAAGGTGAAGCGGTCTGGATCTGCTCAGGAACTGGCACGTCCTATGACTCTAGAAGTATTACTATAGGAGGTGGCTCTGATGATGCAACAGACAACGAGAGCATCTCAGCAGTCCTAGTAACTGGAGCAACTGTGGTAGGTATAGGGACTCGCAACTCTTGCGGTGTAGGCTACCCTATACGCTCACTGAAAGTCGCACCGAGACTCCTAGAAACTAGGGTGTCAGCCACTAGCACTGAAGAGCTCTAAGGCAGAGTGAAGCTCGTAACAATAGGAGTGAAGTGAGGACCCTGGGCTATCACTAGCGAAGCAAACCACTAGGACACCTGCTCTATAGGTGAAGCAAACTGAGTAGCTGGTTGTCCCTGACTCTGAAGCCCACTAGGCTATACAGCTGGAGTCACTGAAGTGGTGGCAGGCTGGCCTATCTGAGGTGTAGTCTTTGGAGGAGCGGCCTCGAGAGCATAGAAAACGTGCTGCATGAACCCAAGCAACTGTTGCTGGATCATGAGCTGCTGCTACTGCATGGCCTGATGCTGCCTCTAGAACTCATCCTATCGAGCCTGAACCTATGCAAGTGCAGCTGCTGTCTCACATTCCTAGCATGCCTAGTCCTGCCTCATCCGCTCAAGTACTACTAGAAGAGCTAGATCTGTCTGCGGTGGCTGTGGAGCGGAGCTAGAGCCACTGGCCTCTCTGTCGTGTGGTCGAGGAGGCATCTATAGAATAGGCTGATAATCATCATCAGAACTATCACTATGGTCGCTCTTGACCACACCCTCCTACTGAGCATCTAGTTGCTCCTCCTCTATCGCTGTAATGCCCCTGATGATCTCATCCTATTGGGCTGCTGTCTCCGGGACCTCTAGGTGATGACTCGGCTAGCGAGGTGTCCTCGCACTACTATGGCGGAGCATCTAAGTCATGTTATAAGGAGGAAACTCTATAGTAGCACCTGTGTA